TATATATATATATATATATATAATTTTTATTCTTCTTTTAGTCTTCTACATTTTTTTTCGTAACCCAAGATAGGACCCTTTCATGTACTACTATCCCCGGGTCAGACGAAACCTGTCATCAAAGAGGCGTCGGAAGGGTGGGGGGTGGGATTCACTTCTCCATAGTTCACCAGGCTTTGCTTGTTGTAATGTGTGTCTATTGGGTTCCCTTTCTACAAATATACACTAACCCGGTACATTTCTAAATTAAAGGTGAGGCATTGATTTTGCGGGACTAAGTGCATCTCTCTGTGCTGAAGCCTTGATCGATAGGGCTCGCGTTAATTCAGGAAGCTTGTTTCACTGTTCAGCGGTTTTTAGAGAAAAAAAATCTTGTGATAGTCTGCAGATGATGGTTTTTAATGTAGACAAGTAACTTTGTCTTTTGACTTTACACTTTTATTCCAATGTGTTTTATGTCCTATCTATTAATATTGTCCTGTAAATGTTTTATAGGCTATTGAACGCACATCAGAATTGGTTATACACTGTTACAAAGGTGTGGTTTCAAAACGGTATACACGAAAGTATAATGATCATAAGACCAACGGTATATTATGTTCTTACGTATTTATTCCATTAAAAAACAAAACAAAAAACAAAACAAAAACAAAAAACAAAAAAAAAACAAAAACAAAACCGTTCGTAAAATATTGTTAGTGGGTGTTTTTGTAATGGTGTATTAACTGTATAATAAAGTGTATTCTAACTTTGCATGAATGTTGGGGGTTAGCACGAATGCAATCCCCGCTACCATAAATTACACACCCGTTCCCAACATTAGTGGAATCGCAGGGGTCAACCTCAGCCGAATGTGCAATGCTGAGGCCTCTGCCTGGGAGGACTTCCTTCTTGATCAAAGTCACTCCTGTGCGATGTAAGTGTGCTTGGAAAGATGAAATTCTTCTAAGATATATCAGTAAACATACCATGTCATACTAGTGTCATTCCGACAACCATTTTCTATCCGATGGTTTTAAGGGATACATTCGACTTCAATATTACAGTATAATAATTAATATTACTTAAAACCGCGTTTTAAAATATGAATTATACTTCATTATATATTAAACTGTTCTGATTATGATATTATTTAAATTAGGTTGTATCTTCACAAGTAAAAACAATATCTACGTACAAGACGTAATTGATTAAACAGATTCGTTGATTAATAATAATTTTTTTATAAACCATGTGTGAAATAACTTTAAGTATAAAACCAAAGCAAGTCGGTAGGTGGCGTTGTTTATTCATGATCATGACGATCGTGAAATCGTTACACATCTATACAGAGATTTCTTCAAATTTACTCACTTTACCGTACTATCATAACAGGCTACACTAAACAGTCAGCGACGGATCTGGGAAAAACCCAAAAAGAAAGGGTGTGTGGGTCCTATCCCGGGAAAATGAGCTTTCCCGACTTATGAGGTGTCTTTTAATGAATTTAAGTTCTTCAATTCAAAATTCAAAGTTTTCCCCCTTTTAAAAACGGTCAGGTAAACTTTATCATTCTTATTACAGTAACTTTACTGCTTCATTTTTATAACAGAGGCACAACCGTAAAAGATGTGCAACAGTAAATAGGCCTATTATTATGTGTGTAAACATACATTTAAAAAAAATTGAGTAGTTGCATACATATTCTTTTTTTTTTCCATGAATTGATAAACCCAAAAAAAGAAAGGGGGTCCTGGGCCCTGCCCCGGAAAAATGTTTTATTCCTATGGCGGGAAACGAGCTTTCTCCACTTCTGAGGTGACTTTTAATGACTTTTATGTTCTTCAAAATTCAAGCTTTATGATTCTTATTACAGTAAATAGGTCTATTATGTGTGTATATACATAAAAACAATTGAGTAGTTGTACACGATTTCTTTTTTCTATGAATCGGCAAACCCCAAAAAGTACGGTGGGTCCCCCACCGCCGGTAAAATTTTGATTCGTAGATGGCGGGAAATGAGCTTTCTTGACTCCTGAGGTGTTTAATGACTTTTAAGTTCTTCAAAAGTCAGGGTTTTCCCCCTCTTGAAAACTCTCATTCTTATTGTCGAGGCCTGGCTTATTATGTGTGTATATAGGCCTACCGGTATATAAAAACAATTGAGTAGTGCACACGTAGGCCTATTCTTTTTTCCATGAATCGATGAACCCCAAAAAGAAAGGTGGGTCCAGGTTCTCCATGGGAAAATTTGATTTCTAGATGGATCATAGTTACCAACCGTCTCGTATCGTGAGGGATGGTCCCGAATTTTAAAGTAATTTTGGATGAAACACGCATTTTGCAGAAACACATTCGTGATCATAAAATTGTCACGCATTTAGCACAAGTATGCGTGATAACGAATTATCACGAATTCTGGGAAATATGTGTTTAAAATATACTGACGCATTACTAAAAAACGATCAGTAGGCCTATGTCTAGGCCTATTCATTTTTTGTTTGTTTGAGTAATGAAATGTCTGTGTACATAGGCCTAGGTCGGGTGCTCAAATTAAACATAGGCCTACATTGAAACTCAAGTGGCTTTATAAAAGTATTTTTGTTTTGCACCCGGTATTGTCAAACAAACACTTCCTGAAATCGTTTTAAAACAACTTAAACATGCTCAGATCGTCGGACCCAACCAGGGCTTCTTCCCTGCACCGCGGCAGGGGCCCTGGCGACCCCGCTCCCCTAGTCAACTGATGTAGTCACTCACGCATTTTAAATCTCTCAGGTTGGTAACTATGATGGCGGGAAATCAGTGTCTTTTAATGATTTTTAAGTTCTTCGAAATTCAAGGTTTCCCCTCTAAAAAACGGTCAGGTTTTTCTCATTCTTATTATTGTAAATGAGCCTATTATATGTGTACCGGTATACATACAGAAAAAAAATTGTGTAGTTGCATACGTAGGCCTATTCTTTTTTACATGAATCGACGAACCCAAAAAGAAAGGGGTTCGGGGTCCTCCACCGGGAAAATTTTGATTCCTAGATTTTGGGAAATGAGCTTTCTCAACTTTTTATTTTTCCATTGTAAAAAAAAAAAAAAAAAAAGAAAAAAAAAAGACCTTCACGGGGTGAGTTTTTATGGCTTAGTATGGTCCGACCAAATTGTGCTTTTACACCACAATATTAGGGATTAGCAATACAAAATAACGTTATTTGGATAGGCAAATTATTATATATATATTTGATCCGACGACCTAGTCTAGCCATGGTTCTTGCGTATTTAAGTTGTTAAAAAAAAACAAAAAAAAAACAAAAAAACCTAACGTAAAATATTGACAGCGGTGTGGTTTCAATATAAAAATAAAGTATAATGACCTTGAGACAAACATATATTACGTACTTACGTATTTATTCTATACAAAATAACCGTTGCTATCCTAAAATAAAGAGTCCAACTCAGGGGCGGATCCAGAGAATTTCTGACGGGGGTGGGGGAGCACATATGAAGTTCTCGCCGCCACGCCCACCTCAGCCCACCATGGTTGGTGTAAATAAGTGGCAAATAATCGAGCTCTCCTTTCACCTCAATGCTGGATCGCCACTGAACTCATGGGTACACTCCTTTTTTCCTTTTTCCTCTTTTTAACTCAAATTTTTCAAAATCTTTTTTATTTTTTGGCTTGACTGACGGGGGGAGGGCACGGGCACTCAGGGCCCCCCGCTGGATTCGCCCTGTTATCATATTGATACCTTCCAACGAAAACTGACCGTACCGGCGTCACCACGGCGTCCCCGATCGATCTAACGTGATGTTGTTATGTGGGTGTTTTTATAGATTATTGAGAATGGTAATATCACCGGTAAAATAGATAAAATGACAGTTGAATGACCAACAAAGACAACTGAAGACAATATAGTTCGTCATTAGATGTTATTTAGTATAACTTTATTCGGAAAATTAATCTTAAAATCGAGTTGCCGTCCCCGACGTTGTCAATGACGTCGTATGATTTTTGTACGATTTTTACCAATTAACCCAAAGAAAAAAATAGTTGAGCCATGTAGTACCTTTCAAATCAACCCAGAAACCCTGTAGTTTTTTAATTGTTTATTGGTAGCGTCTCTTCGTGGCCAAAAATAGTTTTTGACAGTTGCGTCCCCGGTGACACCGTGAGGGTATGGTAAAGGCTGGTTACGATTTGGTGGCACATCGATTGGGTACAGTATTTGCATTCATCTGGCCATTTAAGTCAGTGCAGTGGCGTATCTAGATGTCTTTAAATGGGGGACAGATGGGGCCCGGTGGGGCGAAGGTGAAGTGGGGTGGGGGCTGATGGGGCACGAAGGTAAAGTGAAGTAAAACTCGAAAAAAAAATTGTTCCAAAGGCATACATACATACATTTTTTATATAATTTGAAACAACTTACTTGAATCTATTATACTGTGTATGATGATGATGGTGATCAGGCATACAGATTTCAAGAACAAATTTTAAAAAGCGTGGTGTCCCTGTGCATTTTTGCATACGTATTTGTGACATAGTTTTATGTGACATAGTTTTATGCACAAAGTTGTCAGTTATTTCATTTGAAACCAGTGTCAGTATAATCTTAGATAAGCAGATGGTTAACATAAGCAAGAATTTAGTCCAATGAAACTGTTTATCCAGGGGCGGATCCAGAGAATTTCTGACGGGCGGAAAGGGGGGGGGGGGACACACATGAAGTTCTCGCCGCCACGCCCACCTCAGCCCCACCATGGTTTGACGGTGTAAATAGCCTAAGTGGCAAATAATCGAGCTCTCCTTTCACCCCAATGGTAGATCGCCACTGAACTCATGGGTATACTCCTTTTTTCCTTTTTAACTCAATTTTTTTTCACTCTCTTTTATATGTTGGTTTTACTGACGGGGGGGGGGGGAAGGCACGGGCCTCATGCCCCCACCCGCTGGATCTTCTCCTGTAACTTTACAATAATGTTGGGGGTTAGCGCGAACGCAGTCACCCCCGCTACCATAAATTGCACACCCGTTCCCAACATTAGTGGAATCGCAGGGGTCAACCTCAGCCGAAAGTGCAATGCCGAGGCCTCTCCCTGGGAGGACTTCCTTCTTGATCAAAGTCACTCCTGTGCCAGGTAAGTATGCTTCAAACGATGAAACTCTAGTAACATATATCAGTAAACACACCATGCCATACTAGTGTCATTCCGACAACCATTTTCTACCCGATGATTTAAGGGATACATTCGACTTCAATATTATAGTATAATAATTAATATTACTTAAAACCGCATTTCAAAATATAAATTATATTTCATTATATATTAAACTGTTCTGATTATGATATTATTCAAATTAGGTTGTATCTCCACAATAAAAACAAAATCTATGTACATGACGTAATTGATTAAACAGCATCGTTGATTACTAATAATTTTTTTATAGACCATGTGTGAAATAACTTTAGGCATAAAACCAGAGCAAGTCGGTAGGTGGCGTTGTTTATACATCATAACTCATAACTCTAACCATGACGATCGGGAAATCGTGACATCAATACAGAAATTTCTTTAAATTTATCACTGTAGTATCATAACAGGTCAGTGGCGTAACAGGCGGGGGAAAAGGGGATGGCGGGGCAGAGGGCAGACTGGGCTAACCAATCTGTCGGGGGCGGAGCGCCAGGGCCCCCAGGCACGAGGGGCCCGATATTGTAGTTTAAAAAAAAATATAATATAAACTATTAATACTATAGTTTCATTCAATGAGGCCCCGACATTCACTGCCCTGGCACCATCATACAGGAAACCGCATTATCTCAGGGCTCGTGTAAACGATTGCTGCAGTTTTTATGGACCATCTATGTTCTCTGACAACGCAGTTAACTGTTCATAAATGCCATAAGCTCTGAAGCCCCCTCAGACCCCGACCAGGGCCATACGCGGCCTCCTGGCCCCCGCGTCTGTTTGTTCGATCCGCTAGCAAACACAACGCTCGCTTCGCTCGCTTATTAGAGGTGCCCCCAATAACAGTCACCGCCAAGGCCCCACAAACTGTCGTCGTACCAGGCTGGGTAAGAAGAGGAAAGAAAGATAGAGGCAGAGGGAGGGAAAGAGAAAGAAGGGGAAAATAAAAGGAAAGGAAAATGGAAAAGAGAAAACTAAAGACAAGAATTAAAAGGAAGATATATGATCATATATCACAATACCCTGCACCCCCTTCTCCACTTCAAAAATTGTCCACTGCAGAGTTAGAGAGAAATAGTTGTGAGTTATATATATGTCTGATGTAAATGAGATACACAGGCTGCGGGAAGACGTACATCGCATTTTTAGGCACTTTCAGGGGTGAAAAGGGCATCTTCTTTCCTTTTCCCGTTTCTCAATTTTCCCAGAGGGGGAGGGGAAAGGGGGGGGGGGGAGATTTTACAAAGGG